CATTTTGTTGGGTAATTGTAAAACCAGTTCTGTCCTTTGCAGGAAAGCTGTGCTTCAGAGTAGCTGGTGTCAGAAAGGGCTGTTGTAAATTGTTACATATACATACAATATGACAATATTAAGTTTATTAGGACATGTTAGTAAACGCTTAATAGTTGGTTTAATTTAGAGAGGAAAAGACTAATGATATTTAAATTGTTATCTTAAAATTTTATAGAGATTTCCTGTAACTATAGTTCACTTAAAAAACTTTTTTGCAAAGCTGGTAATGTCTGTTCGATGCTTTGACTCTCTTTCTACTCAAAACGCACTGTTCTGCAATCGATTCCAGCTTACAGTGACCCTGTAGGAGGGCAGAATGCCCTGTGGGTTTCCAAGACTGCATTTCCTATGGGAGTAGAAAGGCTCATCTTTCTCTCGTGGAGTGGCTGGTGGGTTTCAAATTGCTTGCCTTGCTGTTAGCAGCCCAATGTGTAACGGTGACGCCACCAGGGCTCGTGTTGTTCCTACTCATAAACTCAACTCACTGCCCTGAGTCGATGCTCACTTATAGCAATCCTATAAAGACAGAACAGAACTTCCTTTGTGAGTAGAACGCCTTGTTGTCTGCACAGTGGCTGGTGGTTTCCAAGTGCCGACCTTGCAGATCGAAGCCTAACTCATAATATTTACACCACTATGCTCCTGCTCATAGCAGACTATACAACAGAACTCTACTGATGGTGCATTATCCTCACTGTAATTGTATAGTTGAGTTCATTGTTGTACCTCTGTCAATAAATCAACCTCAGTAAGCATCTTCGTCTACATTACCAAGACTGATGTCCATCTCAAGGACTGGTCATTCTTGATAACATGTCCACAGCGCATGAGACAAAATCTCACCATCCTCACTTCTAAGGAGCATTTGTTTGTTGATCTGGCAGTCCATGGTATATGACTTTAAAGAAGCTTATGGGAACATTTCTCTTTTCTTATCCTATTTCCCCACGAACTTTTTGAAGCCCCCTTGTATCCTGTATTCTTTATCAATATCATAACTCAAAGCATCAATTCTTTTTTTCCCCATTTATGGTCCCGCTTTCCTATACATAGGAAGACGGTTGAAAAATCCGTGACTTGAGTCAAGCATACCTTAGTCCTGAAGGTGGCATTGGATATGTCTAAAATACTAGTATACAGTGGTAAAAATAAAGTACTAGTATATCATTAGAACAGAGGAAGCAAATCCTCAAAATTCACCAGTCAAGACATTGGAATTGTTCAACGTTTTTATCAGTTTGATTTGTAATATAGTTTAGAGTGTTCCCTCTTACTCTTGGATGGGTAGTTTTAAATTGATGTCTGTTTTAATTGCTTATAGGAAGAAGATGTTGATTTTCTGGCCAGATTTTCTAAGCTGGTTAATGGAATGGGACAGTCATTGATAGTTAGCTGGACAAAATTAATTAAGAATGGTGATATTAAGAATGCTCAAGATGCACTCCAAGCTATTGAAACAAAAGTGGCATTGATGTTGCAGCTATTAATTCATGAGGATGATGACATCTCCTCTAACATTATTGGGTTTTGTTATGATTACCTTCATATTTTGAAACAGGTAAGTCCTTCTTTAATCTTTTTGTCCAGTAGATCATATAAAGAGGCCATAACGAATTTGAAAAATATGAAAATACCTACCTATGAACAATCAACCTAATCTAGTTCCATCTTTTTTCTGTACATTTTTCCCCTTGTGTTAAAATAATGTTTATTTAAAGAAAGAAAACTTAGCCAGAAAATAGGAATAGGTAGGTTCTGAAATTTCCTTGACTAATAAACAGGAAATTATAGGCATGTTATTATTCTATTTTGCCCCTGAATATCTAAATACAAATAGTCTCCTGATTACTAATGTCTGACTTAGAGATGACTCCTCCGAACCAAAAAACTCATTGTCAGTTGATTCGGATGCAGCAACTTTGTAGAACAGAGTGGAAAGTCTCATCTTTTTCCTGAAGAGTGGCTGGTGGCTTACAACTGCTGACATTGCAGTTAGCAACCCCATGTGTAACCACTACACTACCAGGGCCTCTTCAGACAATTCCTAGTGGCCCTTTAATGCAAGCCTTTGATCTAATTTGTATCATGGCCATGAAAACTAAACAAATAGAAGTGTTGTTGTTGTTTTTAATTGTTTCATTGAGATAATGAACAGAAAAGGCTGAAGTGCTGGAAAGTGATCCTGTTCAGGAACCTTATACAGGAGATTGAACTGTTGCCAGGACTAGAAAGCCACACACATTTAAAATGGTGAGGTTGGCCACCATCTTTGAGTAGAGCAGCACTGTTTCCAAAGCCCTGCTTTAGTGTTATATAAATTCACCCTCACTTAAAACTTTCTTGGGATAGATTCTTTATCAATAAATCTTTAAAAGCACATGTAGCTTTTAAAGCACTGAAAAGGCTTTGAGCCTTTTCTTGCACTAATGTAAAGTTAAATAAGAACTGTGTGCATCTGTTCTTACTGACCTACAAATTCTTAAAGACATGCTAGGAGCAGATCTTGTTCATAACCCAGGGATAGCCTGTAGAGTAGAAATGTTAAACATTCATTAATTAAAATGTTTCATTTGAAAAATTTCTCTTTAAACAATTGAGTTTAAGTTGTAAAATTTATCACAATTGTATATGAGAGAACCATTCTTACTTATGTGCCTTGTATGAATAGAAATCTAGTTTAAATTGCTTCCCCCAAATGAATATAGCATGTGTTCATTGTTATAAGCATAGTATTTGTCTGCATGCATACTTGAAAGACATTTTAGGAAATGCAAGGAGATGTGATAACTATAATCAGTTCAGCTATGTCCTGCTTTTTGAAAGTTCACTTTATAGCACTTGGCTTTTGCAAAGGACCTATATTATCACTAACTGAAAGAAATCTGAAGAGGGTTGTCACTTTCATGGAGTAAAGTGAAAACTAGCGTTCAGCCTAGCGTTCAGCTTTTTTGTGTGAAGTGCAAGCCCTGAGCGCTTAAGCTCCATCCCATAAACTACACTCAGCATCTCTGCATCAAACCACCACGACCGAACGGTGTCTATGAACACGATGCTTGTGTTATTTTAGGTTTTATGTTTTGTTTGGTATGATTTGGTAGGTTATTTTTTGGGTCTGGGATTCCCATGTAAATAAATGTAAATGTTCTGTCATTTTGTCAAAGGAAAGTTTCCATTAGAACAGTTTGCTTTCAGGTAGCAGGGTGAACCTATACTTAAAAAAAAAAATCACTATACTGTCCTGGACTCTTAATCAGTTTATAGGCTTGTTTTCCTTTTCTAAAAAGTAAAACACAACAAGATGGGATCATGATTTATTGTCCTATTACCTGCTTTAGTGCTAAAAACCTAACACTCATCTATATCTTTGGCAAGTTAATTTATGATGTGGAACTGCTAAGTCTTGTAAGAATATTTAACTCTAGTCAAGTGCTACCAAACTACACTCCAGATAATGTATATGTTTTAAAATACTTATAAAGTTACCTGATAAGCAAATACAATTTTATCAAACCTAATGAATTATTACTTACTTTTTAACAGCTTACAGTGCTCTCGGATCAGCAAAAAGCTAATGTAGAGGTAAATTGACTTATTTTGCTTTATTTAAACTGATAGATTTTGTTTCTGGAATCTAGACTATGTTAATGTAACAAAATATGTTAATTTCAAATTATATCAGATTAAAGGAGACTGATTGATAAAGGTTATTTATTGTTAAATTTAGGCGATCATGTTGGCCGTAATGAAAAAATTAACTTATGATGAAGAATACAATTTTGAAAATGAGGTAAGAATTTTTCACTGAGGGAAGATCAGTTTTAATTTTACTGGGGCCTTTAAAAACAAAACAGCAATAAATGGAAGCCTCTTAATTCTTCATTTGGGTATTTTGTTTTAATAATCCTTTAAAAATGATTTGTAGCATTGAGCTTAGTAAACTATTGATCATATGCATTGCTAATTTTGTTACTTTGTACTTAGAGTGGTGAATTAGAGGCCCAGTCTCTGGGGGAGTGGGAATGAGGCTCTGAACTGTCTTGCCCGGGTTTCATGTGGGCTAACCTTCTATCAAACATAGCCATTAGAGGCTTTCTAATTACTTAGTCATGGCATGCATTACAAAGGGGCTTTAAAAAGTTTGTGGAAAATTGAATTAAAAGGTAGTAGAATTTTCCCATGAAATTTTTGAAGCCATTTCACATTTAGCTGTATGATAGTGTTCTATTGGGATAGTATCCTAAAGGATAACAATGATAATAATGCAATATGGATGTGTGACATGATGGGCTTATTATATAATGTCTAATCAGACGGTATTGTTAACATATTTTACACTGGACATCCAATTACAAGGAAAAAATAAGACGTCACAGGCTCACACATCTTAATTTGACTGTGGTCTAGTGAGTCCCTTGTCCTTAGCATTAGGTTACAGGACACACCATTTAGGCGCATTTCGATTTCCTCAACAAAAATGAGAGCTGACTTTTATCCACTTATTGAGACAAATATATCCCAATTCATTTTCTTCTAACCCTTGTAATCTGGTATATCTCAATGTATACATGTCAATTTGATACAAACATAAATTGAGTATTAATCCCAGCAAATCACTTCATTCATGAAAGCATTACTTGAGTAATAAATATAAACCTAGTCAAAAAGTTCTTAGTAAGAAAAAAAAAAAAGGTCTTAGTAAGTATACCTCAATTGTAAAGAAAAACGATGCTGTGGAGATTGTCATACTGACCAACCTGGCCCATGCAATCCCTCGAATGGTCATTTATGCTACATCAGACCCAATATCTCAAGTATTGTATATTAAATATAAATTTTACATAAACACAGTATCACATAGTTTAATGTATAATTAATAGTGTATAATTATGTTGTTTTAAAATAATTGTTTTTAAAAACATGGTTTTCACGTGTCAATTTGACATGTTCCCTAGAGACAGGTATATTAAGAAATGTCCATAAACCTAGTATTAATCACTCCTCTGTTTTTGGTTCTAGCCTTTCACAGTACAGGCCTATGTTTAGAAATACTTAATCCATGAGCAATAGAGGCTAAAGCTAAGCTTAGTAGTAGTTTCCCTATATAAATAGATACTGATGGAAAAACAAAACTTTGAGCAAGGATAAGTCAAAAAGTTGTCACTAGGGTGCCAGTTCATATGTACACAAGTTTATCACAAACAAAACATGTTGATACTAAAAAAAGGTAATGCAATAGGAAAAAGAGATAAGTGCAGACAAGTTCTCTTGGTGTTAATGCTTGTCTTAGTCTTATTAGGGTCCTTTCAAAGAGGAAGTTCTAGCTAAATAGTGGTTTCTGAAGAGATCTGCTGGTCCAGTTAAATTCAATGCATAGAGGCCAGCTTAGAAGGTTATGGTGCCTAATTTGGGGGAGTCATTTTGATAGCTTTTGTCAGAGGATGCAGGATGATCATGGGAGCTTTATTATAAAAAAGTTTTAAGTAAATGGAAAACAGTGTTGGGAAGAGAAAGGCCAGGAAATTGTGCCCAGGAATTTTTTCCCATTACAATAATGCACTTGCTCATTCTTTGAGGGTAGCAAGTCTTATAAGAGTTTCATTAGGAAAGTGTACCCCATCTATGCTATAGCCCTCATCTTGCCCCTGCAGACTTCTTTTTGTTCTCAAAAAGAACATTGAAAAGTAGCGTGATTTGAGTCCCTGAGATGGTCAGATTTGTCTTGGTATAACTCAAAGAGCACAGAATTTTTCCTAGAAGAGTTAAAGAGAAGGAAACATCACTTTCAGAATTTTCATGGCCTAGAATGGAGGCTATGTCGAGAAGCAGTAGCTTCACATTTTGCTTTTTTGTTTGTTTTGTTTAGGAAAACATTTCTGAGATTTTTTTGTAGCAATGCTTTTTGACTCATCTTTGTATTTGTAAATTTAAAAAAACTACAAGAGAAACCAAAATGTGTGTGGATTTTAAGATCTTTTAAAATTTTTAAATGAGGATTTTAAAAATGATGTTATAGGGTGAAGATGAAGCCATGTTTGTAGAATATAGAAAACAACTGAAGTTATTGTTGGACAGGCTTGCTCAAGTCTCACCAGAGTTACTGCTGGCTTCTGTTCGCAGAGTTTTTAGTTCTACACTGCAGTAAGTCTCATTGTCTTTGTAACATAACCACCTTTAATCCTGTGATACCTGGTGACGGAATAAAATATGTGATACATATTCATTAACTCATGTTGCTTCTTAAGATCTTATATGTATCTGTGGAAAGAATGCATTTTTCTTGATCCTTGTGGGGAATGCTACTCTGGGGACACAGACATCATCAGTATTTTCTACTTCTGTGATATAGATATTATATGGCAAAGTTAGCAATTACTTTGACATTTTAGTAACTAAAAGGGTTTTTTAACGTTTTTTATTAGCCTTATGAGTTGTAGAAAACATGTTATGTTTAGACCTCATTGACCTTTTATGCCCTGATAGGAGTTGGCAGACTACACGGTTTATGGAAGTTGAAGTAGTAATAAGATTACTGTATATGTTGGCAGAAGCTCTTCCACTATCTCATGGTGCTCACTTCTCAGGTGACGTTTCAAAAGCCAGTGCTTTGCAAGATATGATGCGAACTGTAAGTATACCAGAATATTCTAAACATATATTTCCATTTATACTTAAAGTTAGTGGGAGTTTCTTAATTGTGAGGGTTTAGTATCTCAATATTGGAGCATTTAATTATTGAAATAATTAAGGAGTGGCCTTTTAAAATTTTTCTTACTACAGTTGGTAACATCAGGAGTTAGTTCCTACCAGCATACATCTGTGACATTGGAGTTCTTCGAAACTGTTGTTAGATATGAAAAATTTTTCACAGTTGAACCTCAGCACATTCCATGTGTATTAGTAAGTATATACTGTAGTTTGTTTTAAATTTTCCATGTATTTCATCTAATCAGCAGAGTTAGTATTCTTTAAAAAGCTTTATGCCCTTTATAATTTCTCCCATAGCAGAGTTCTCAGAAAATTTTTAAAAGTTTAGCTTTTATGTGGACACCTGCCCCTCCCCCCAGAATAATTTATTTCAGAGGACAGCACTGAATCTTTAGCTCTGGGAGAGGGACATGTCTGATCAGAGCACACGGGAGCAAATGAAGTGGGAGGAAGAGAGAGTGGAGCACATGCTGGCACACCAAGCCTTGAGGACGATATTCCCACTCAGAATAGCCAATGCACAGAAAAGACCACATGGCCGGCCCCGCTATGAGACACGACATACCTCACTGACCCATAGCCCTACAGGGGACAACACTGGAGAGACAGTGTGGGAATTCCGCCTACTCTGATCCCACCGAAGCCCCCAGGGAATACCAAAAATAGACTGGGGCCAGGG